CTCCCTATGCTGCAAAGGTGTTTGGCCACAGAGACTGGTAAAATGTTAGGAAGAACAACCTTCAGAACACAGTCAAAGAGCCTGAAAAACCCACAACAACCATTAGATCCCAGCCGTGAAAGCCTTCACGAATATATTAACTTGGTTTTTTTTTTAACTTATTCTTACCCAATCAATCAACAGCTCTTTTTCCTTCCCTCCACTAGGGGGCTTGAACTTCTTTGAGGCAGTTTTTCTCCTGCTGGTACCAGTTTAACAGTAGTTTTCTCCTCCCCCCCCCACTTAAACATGTCTTTATTGTACAATAATGAGAATGAAGTAGAAGCATCTGCCCAATAAAATTATCTGGGTGACATCATTCATCTTCAGTCTCCCACCGTTCATCACATGTGAAGAAGATACATACTTCACTCTTTTCCAGGTGCACTTTAGAGTGCAATTCTTTTTTCCCCAAAAAACTTTATTTTAGACAATCAATCCCATTACAAACAGATAATATATTATCTTACTTACTAAATATTTTAACATTCTCAACACCAGCTATTCACACCATTGAACAAAATTACACTAAATCTCATATCCCCATTCCAAACCAACAGTTTGAGCAATCTAGATTATTTCCTAAATCATGTGACTTTTCATTTAATTCATTAGCGTATTTTATTAAAGGTTTCCAAGTTTCAAAAAAGATGGGTTACTTACCTGTAACCATGGTTCCTCAAGTGGTCATTCTGTGAATTCACACAAAAGGGTTAAATCAGCACCAGCGATGATCCTCTCGGAATGTTCTAGAGCTTAAATAGAAAAAGAAACAACGTTTTAGGTTGCCTACACTACGCATGCTCCGCCCACCCAAGCCTCAGTTCCATGTCTCCGTCACAAAAAACAGCCACATGAGTTGGATATAACATTAATCTAATATATTCAGTGATGGATAGTGGGGAGGCTGGGTGGGATTGTGTGAATTCACAGAATGACCACTTGAAGAACCATGGTTACAGGTAAGTAACCTGTCTTTCTTCATCGTGGTCTTTTGTGAATGCACACAAAAGGGTGACTAGCAAGCTAACTCACCGGAAGGGGGGAGCTGTCACTGAAGGACGGATGTCAGCACTGCTCTTCCAAAGACTGCCTCCCTCTTAGCCCTCAGGTCTAGTCTGTAATGGGTGATGAAGGTGGATACGTTAGACCACGTGGCCGTCCTGCAGATATCAGGGACATCAATGCCCCGTAATAAGGCTGTAGATAAGGCCACTGCTCTGGTAGAGTGAGGTCTAAGTCCTTCAGGAGGATCTCTGTGTAGAAGTTCGTAAGCCAATGAGATGGTAGAAACAAGCCACCTAGAGAGCGTTGATGGTGATGCTGGTAAACCCTTCTTGCATCCAAAGTAGCAAAGGAAAAGTCTATTAGACAACCGGAACTCTTTTGTCCTTGAAACATAAAAAGCAAGTGTTCTCCTGACGTCTAAGGTGTGGAGCATGCGCTCAGTGTCATTGATAGGATTAGAGAACAAAGTAGGTAACACAAGGGGCTGGTTCAAATGAAAGTCAGTAACCACCTTGGGAAGAAAGGAAACATCGGTGTGCAAAACAACCTTCTCCTTAAAAAACTGTAGAAAGGGTTGGTCCACTTGCAGTGCAGCTAATTCTCTAGCTCTGCGGGCTGAAGTAATGGCTACCAAGAACAGAGATTTTAGCGACAAAAATTTTAAGTCACATGTGGCCATCGACTCAAACGGGGGTCGCATGAGAGCATGCAGGACTAAATGCAGGGGCCACTGCGGAACTGGTGGTTTAACCGGTGGTCTCAAATTCGTTAGACCTTTCAGAAAAGCTTTAACAGTTGGATGAGAAAACAGACGTGATGCAGCTGAGCCTTCAGGCTGAAAGGAGACAATCGCAGCCATGTAAACCTTCAGAGTAGATATTGAAAGGTTGAAGTCAAATAGGTAACGGAGAAACTGCAACAGGGTAGATAAAGATATTGGGGACAAAACAAGGACCCTGGAAGCTGTAAATTTCAGAAAACTTTGCCATTTGTAACTATACAGTCTAGTCGTAGATGGTTTTTTTGCCATGTTTAACACCTCCTTGATCTGCGGGATATCCTCCATGCAGTCAGGTGTAGAGTATCCAGGTCTGGGTGAAGTATCTTGCCTGCATTCTGAGTCAGCAGACCAGGAAAAAGGGGAAGTTTGATGAAGTCTTTGGCTATCCGCATTAACGTGGGAAACCACGGCTGACAAGGCCAAAATGGTGCTATGAGAATGGCCTCCACTGCTTCGTGTCTTAGTTTGACCAGTGTTCTCTGTATTAGAGGGAATGGAGGAAACAGGTATACCAGACCCACAGTCCAATGTGTCATGAATGCATCCCCTGATGACTCGGTGCCTCGTCCGGCTCTGGAGGCATATAGGGGGCACTTCTTGTTGTGCTGGGTCACAAACACGTCCATCATTGGCTGTCCCCATCGAAGGCAAAGGTCACTGAAGATGTTGTCGTCCAACTGCCATTCGTGTGTCTGCCATGTGAGATGGCTCAGTTCATCTGCTATCACGTTGTCTTCTGTCAATACATGTATAGCCACAGGAAAGATATGGTGCCGACAGCACCATTCCCACAAAATCACAGTGAGGAACAACAGGGACTTTGAACATGTGCCCCCCTGCTTGTTGATATAGTACATGGTCCTGGTGTTGTCCGTGACTACCTGAACACCACGACCTTGTACTAGAGGGAGAAAAGCCTTGAATGCCTTGAAGATGGCCAGAATCTCCAAGTGATTGATGTACAGGTTGTGTTCGTGCACTGACCATAAGGCATGTATCCTGTGGGGTCCGCAGTGCACACCCCAACCTACTGGGCTCGCATCTGCGGTCACCTGCATGGTTAGACGAAGGGGGTGGAATGGTCTTCCTATTTGCAGGTGAGGAGGATAGTTCCCCCACTGGAGCTGTTGTGCCAGTTCCTGGGTTACCCGAAGACGCATGTGTTGATGATCTGTTAGCTGGTTGAATTGTGACAGGAACCAAACCTGAAGGGATCTGAGTTTCAACCGAGCGTGAGCCAACCCTGGGGTCATCGAAGCCATGAGCCCTAGGAGGTGCTGAGCGTGCTTTGCTGTTACCCGTGCTCCTGGGCGAAATTTTCTTATAGCCTTGTGTATTTTCCGAATCTGTTCTTTTGGGAGAAAAATGCAGCCTTTTCTGGTATCTATTGTGGCACCAATATAGCTGACGACTTGTGATGGAACAAGATGAGATTTTTTTATGTTCACTGTTAGACCCAGGTTGTACAGAACATGAAGTACGAATTTTGTGTCTTTCAGAGCACGACGTCGGGACCTGGAAACCACCAACCAGTCATCTATATATGGATACACCTGGACACCATTTAGACGCAGTAGGCCGCCACCGGCGCCATGCACTTTGTAAACGTCCTTGGGGCCATGGCCAGGAC